CTCAGAGATCCAATGCCTTCGGGGAACTTCGGGCTCAATCCCACGAGCAAAGTTGGCAGCCGGGTGCATCGCAGATATAATTTGATCCCACTGTTGGTCTACTCCACTATGTCGCGGTTCACGTTTTGCGCATTTCCGACGGTCGCCTACAGAGACGCGCCTTATTTGCAGTTCAGTTCAGTTCAGTTTTTACAACCATTAACCATGCACTTTCGTGCGCCGGTTTTGGTTGCTGTCTTTTGGTTGCCCATTTGGATAAAAGAGCAGTGGCTGTTGCAGGCTGGAAAAAGCCACGNGCGTGAAGAAATACTCAGAGCGATTAGGTGGAGTAGGTGTATCTTGTCTTCCGAGTTGGGGTCCAAAAGACTCAGTAACCGCATGATTGAAGACACTGAAGGTTATGGCTGCGAACCGACAGAAGTGGTGATCATGTTGTCACTTCTTATCAGATCAGAATATGTGAAATAGTATGTATGAACAGTTGGACTGTGTTGGCCGTATAGGTTCGTTTTCTTTTCCCGTCCCTAAAAGTAAGTTCAATCCCTATCTTCTTTACACAATTTCATTTATCTTGTATGCAATATGAGTTTGGCAGCGATCAGTGAAGTTCACTTCACTGTATTACGCTGTACAATGATGATGAATAAACTCACAATGCACACAAATTTGGTGGTGACGTGTAAGGTGGACAGGGATTGGACCTATTTTGAGAGAGGGGGAAGAAAAAGAACCTCTATGGTCAACACAGAGTACACGATCGAACTGTGCATACTTTACTCTTACTTTTGAGCTACTAACTCATGTGGGAGGATAAGTCGGCTTCCTGGATGCCTCTACTGATGGCGGCCCATGGGTGAAGGTCGGTGGCAGGGTTGGCGCAGTGAAACCCAGTTCTGGTTCCAGTTACGAATTCCATATACCGATTGGAGGCCTAGTAATTCCAAGTCCGCCTTGATCGTACTTTTCCAAGTCTTCGGTTGTTCACCAAGTCGGCAACGCCATCCACGGCACGGTACAGAGGCTACAGCCTACCACGAGAGTTGAGTGTTCAGCGTTCGGAGCACATGGCCAAACCACTAAAGGCATCGGCGTTGTCGCATTTTCACAAGCTTGTTGATATTCGAGTTATACCGTTGAACCTCATCATTGGAAATCCGATCTCTCCAATTTTCTTTCGAGATGCGATGTAAGCAACAATGATTAAAGACCTCAAGCTTCTTTGTATCTGGTACTCTTAGCAGCCATGTTTTACAACCAAAAGTGAACATGGGGTTGATGGGGTTGATAAACCCGAAGATTAGTGTTTACGCTTATTTCGCACCGATCCTACAACGACCTGAGGCATTGCAGGAAGGCTCTTCTTACTCCATCTACATGAAGTTGAATTTCATCCTTGGCCTGGCCGTTTGGTCTGATTTTAGAGCCAAAAGACTTGAAAGAGAGAGGGGGGTTGTGTCGTGGCAGAAGTTTCGGCCGAAAATATCTGGGTTTTCAATGTGTTGATCTCTAGCCCAATGACCGGGGCAAGTTGACTAATGTGGTTGACAACAGACTGGAGGTTGTCCACAGTGTCCCCAAGTGCGACGACATCATCCGCAAACTTGAGGGCTGCAATCCATGTACCTGGGCCTACTTGTACTTCAGGGTTGTCGATGAGTGCTCATTGCATTATCCAATCTACGATGGAATCAAACAACACCGGCGAAAGGAGACAACCTTGCCTGACTTCAGAGCTTAGTTTAAACTGAGCTGCTTCTTTTCCATGGGTACGGACGCATGTCCGGGTCCCTGAGTAGTATGACTGATGATGATAAACTTTTCAGGCATCCCGTCGAACCGCAATATGCACCACAAGGATTCTCTATCGACAGAGTCAAAGGCAGCGTGAAGTCCATAAAACATGCTGTAGTAGACCGTTGGAACATGTAGCGGTGTTCCAGAATTCTCCGGAAAGTAAAGAGTTGTTCAACACAGCCTCTTCCACGGCGAAATCCCCCTCGGTTCGGGCTGGTGTGGGTATCTCTCACGACTGCGAAGCGATTAAGCAGTAGCACTGCATACAATTTGGCAGCAGTATCAATGAGGCTGATACCGCTATAATTTTCGCCTCTTGATCTGTCACCTTTTTTGGAGCCGGAACTAAATTTAAAGTTGCCCAGTCTTTTGGAAAAAGTTCTTTGTCCCAAATGGAGTGAAAAAGAGTGCAGCGGATCGATCGGAGTTGGTAGGCAAACTTTGAATGGCTCTGGAAGTATCCCTTCTCCAGGGGAAGTCCTGCTTTCCAGAGAAGTGATTGCATTGGCGATATCTGTCCTTCTAGGTGGGTCACAATTGATGTCTTAGGTATCCTTACTTCTCGATACTTGTGGAGAGCCAGGTTGGTTTGATGCGCGGTTGGACAGCCCGTCGAAGTGTTCGACCCACCTTTGTATTTTCTAATCATTCCCCTGAATAAATTGGTTCGTTTTGCTGCGTGACGGTGGCTCCGATGTCGGTCTCTCATGCTACAACAAAGTCCAAAGTCCACTGCAACGGTTGCAGCCACCAGGTTGTTTCCAATCACCCAGTGTTGTTTACGGTTCCTCTTGGTGAAGCTTGGTGACGTCGAATGCGAAACTCAGGAGAATTGATCAGCTGTGCCTCTCCTGCCTTTTCGGACAATTGCAGTATACTCTCGGAGGTGCAGTCTCTTTTGTGGCGAAGAGGAGAATATCGCGTCTCGGGCTGCGGTTCACTGCCTTTTGAACTTGATTGTAAATATCGTTTTTGACGTTTGAGTATAGACAGCGATGACAGTCAGGCCAAACGGCTTACGTCTGAAGCGCGTTATGGCAATCCTATGAGAGATTGGCTCCCAGGAGATCATGGCATTGTTGCCGGGCTACTCACGGCGATTGCTACTCCGTGCCAATCGGAGTTTTCAACGGGACCGCTATGCTATAACTGTTAAGTTGCGTCGCTATGTGGTAAGTTGATTAGTTTTGTGCCACAGTTAGGTAGTCGAACTTCGGATAGACAACATATGTCTGCTTTATAGTCGCGCAGTTCGAGGGTGCACCTCTAACCCCTGCACAACCAAGTGCGACCTGCAGGGTAACAGGGTAGAATAGTTGATAGCCGGTGACTGTCAGAACGGTTCATATGCCTTTCAAATCGCTCAGCGTCAGTCCAGGATCCTAACGTGTACATGAGGTCTGAGGGTCGGTAGCACTCCTCAAAGCGTGTCCTACCCGGACGAGTAGGTAAGTGTCAATGACGTTTCTGGTGGCGGGACACATTCGCACATGTCGCGGTGCTGTCAACACACGTACGGCTCTTAAAAGGGATATCGGTTGACAGCCGGAAACCCTAACACATCCCTTAGCATCGCATACATGCTGTTTCAAGCTTTCTAGCTGGATAAAAAATGACGACAAGAACGTCACTGCCGGGTCCTTCCATGTCTCCAATTAACCGGTTGCAAACCTCAACCTGGAGGGTGCGAAATACCTATTCTACCTGGTAACTGTGCATTTCTTCATACCTCGTCCCCACATCATCTGTTGACCTTCACGGAGTTACATCCAACCAGGCGCGTTTACAGCAAACTAAGCGCGGTGCAGCAGACGACAACAGTGCGTGCTCTAGCGTCCGAGGCCTACTAATCCGAATTCAATTAGCTAGCAAATTCATCCTCGATAAACTCCCAAACATACGACTGCTTATCTCCAAATTACTAACCCGTTTGCTCCATTCCACATGGAGCAACACGGATAATCCAAAATACCTGCTCGCAACTTCAAGGTCTCGCAGCCATAAAGCAGAACTGAACGAACGATAACAATATACACGACCTTTCAACTTTAGTAAAACGTCGCGTCTACACCAAAAGTGTTTCAGTCCTGCGTACGTTGATCGATCCTCGTTAATGTGAGTGGCTATCTCCTTTGCTGCGCTACCGTCGTTGGTTACGCAGCTACCTGAAGTAGGAAAAGCAGTCCACTATAACTAATTCCTGGCCATTTGGTTTCAAAGCGGAAGTAGGCGACACCCAGTCTTGCAGCATTACTTTGCACTCTGAAGGTGCTCAGTCAGTGTATGCACGAAATAAGTTCTGCTAACCTGTACTGAACCGTCGAGACTTATGTCTACTTATAACTGGAATCCCGTTAAGTGATTGCCTTGGCACTTGGCACAATCCCTACATCAGTAGCACCGCGAGCTTCGGTTTCCGAGTCACCTGACACATGGAGAGTGAAGCGCAAGTTTTAGGTTGGATGATGATGATGAATAAAGTAGGGTCGTGTCCGCATGCATCTAAATCGAAAGAATCCAGAGTTCTAGCTGAGGCATCTTGTTGGCCTATCGGATAGAGTGTGCAAACAATAAATATAGCTAAGTGAAAAGGAGATTTTGGTTTCAAATATATGATAGCTTCTGGTTGGTTAACCCTAATAGTTGAACACTGAATGATATCCCATGGGTGATGCAAACAGGAGACATCTAGTAAGATTAGGGAGGGACAGAGAGAGAGAGAGAGCAAGGGTTTTCAAATAATTGCCTCAAACCAAGACAAAAAATATCAAAAGTGTACGGAGAAACAAACAAAAAATTATTATTCTTGTCATTCGCCTTAACTGTTTGACCCCGCTTCACTCCCCTTTGTATCCCAACCCCCATATTGTGTTATTCTTGTTGCGTTGGCACCAAGCTTGCCATCAAACCGATGATAAATGCATACATATACAAGACTTCAAGGCACGAAATACTTCGCGGTAGCCCACAGCAACGGAGGGGGTTTTGCTTCGGCAACCCTAACCGGATCCTTTGACTCAAAATTCTGACCCACAAGGCAGTGGGACGTAGATCCAGCACACTAGCTAGGGCTTTTAGAGATCTATCGCTCAAGACCTTTGAGTTTTGTTTAAGTTTTTTGTTCGATGGTGCATTGATTGACAGCTGTTCGGGATTGGCCCTTAGCCTCGTGCATCGAATGTGACAGGTCGAACGTGGACGGGACAGCACCTTATTGCCTGGGGGCTGCCGAGCTTGGGCGGTAGCTGTTCATTTAAGTGCGAAGACTTCTCCCACTAAACTGTCCCTCCCCGTGATTATTTGCTGTTTTGACCACTTCAGGAGCAACAGTAAATGGAAATAAGAAGCCAGATCTCAAACAGCTGGCCTTGTGAGACAGCTTTGTCTGGCCTCTACCCATTGACTTTTGACTGCTCAAAACACAAACTATGGATATCGTCGACCTCGGTTGCCCTGCTGGAAGTCCAGTAGAACCCTTCCTCCGGACGCCACATACGACCCAGCGCGCAAATCCCTTAAACGCCAGGTCATCAAGAGTCTGAGAATGACCGCGAGAAGTGGTGGGTAGAAAAGTGTAAAGAGATGGAGAAAGCTGTGGCTATTGGTGGTGGGTAGAAAAGTGTAAAGAGATGGAGAAAGCTGCGGCTATTGGTAATAGTCGTAATCTTTTCCACTTAGTTAGGAATACGGTACCTAGGAAAATAGGCGTAAGTGAGGTAATTAAGGAATCCGATGGCACACTGATTCACGATCAGCAACACCGCCTTGACCGTTGGCTGAACACTTCAAGGCTCAGTTCAACTGGCCCCCATCGACACCTTATC